GACTTGAACTCTGGGCCTGGGTGCTGTCCCTCAGCTCTTTAGCTCAAGGCTAGCACTCTACCACTTGAGCCACAGTGCCACTTCTGGTGTTCTGGTAGTTTATTGGAGATAAGAGACTCATGGACTTTCCTGCCCAGGCTGGTTTTGAACCCCGATCCTCAGATCTCAGCTTCCTGAGTAGCTAGGATTACAGGCGTGAGCTACTGGCACTGGGCTCAGTGATGCCCATTTTGTCTGTTCTTTTCCAACAGAACAGACAGTATGGGCATCACATCAAAAAGATCCCAAAACAGCCTTCTAAAGCAATTTTGCTTTACTGATGAATACACAAGACAATGGAGAGAGAGAGAGAGAGGAAGAAGGGAAGGAGAAAGAGAAGAGAAAAGAGGGGAGGAGAAAGGGAAGAAAGAGAAGTGGGAAGTGGGAGGAAGTGGGAGAAAGGGAGAGAGGGAGAAAGATGTGTTTCACCAGGAAACAGATATACACTAATAGCCCTTACTGTCCATATAGAAGGAGGGAAAGAAACAAAAACAAAAAGTTGAGGGCGGGCGACTGGGGAGAGGGTTAGTAAGAGTGAAAGGAAATAAAGGAGAGGAGATGAATAACCAGCAACTACATTGATTTAAGGGCATAAGATGAACACATGTGAGAGTTTATTACAGAGACTAGAAAGATAGTGTCCTGATGAAGCCTCCTCTTCTAAATGAGCAAAGTGCTTGTTAGCACCTGATGTTTCCCAAACAGACTCACCTTTGAGCTACCCACATCTAACCTACTCTAATTGTTGATATCATGGAAGATTCTTGAAAAAGAGGCCAAATGTTCTAAAAAAAAAAATCTCTCCTCACTTTCTGTCTTCTATGATTATAGGAAAAATAAACAACTCAGGGCTAATCACTCTAGGCAAAAGGAAGATATTCTAGATATACCCAACAGGTGCATTCTGCAAATTGAGCAAATTAATTTTGCTCACTTCCTCAAATTAATTTTGCCAAGGAATCCTGGTTGGCACACCCATTCTTAGCACACCAGAGAACCATATGGTTAACTTTAAACTACAATATGCTTAGACAATTTTTACACCTAAGAAAGGGTGGGACAATCTCTCCTCTAAACTTCAACAGGCACAGGGATACATTACCATTAAAAATGTAAATGTCAGATAGGCATTGGTTGCTCATGCCTGTAATTCTAGCTACTCAAGTGGCTGAGATCTAAAGATGGAGGTTCAAAACCAGCATGGGCAGGAAATTCTGTGAGACTCTTAACCTCCAATTAACCACCAGAAAATGGAAGTGGCACTGTGGCTTAAAGCGGTAGAGCACAAACCTTGAGCAAAAAGAGCTCTGGGACAGTACCTAGGCCCTGGGGTTCAAGACCCCTGACTGACAAATACATAAATAAGTGTTTAGCCCATTTTCCATAATTTAAAAAAAGTTACAAAAAATGTGCCTAGCATAGTTTCCAGCATAAAGCTTGTTTTATTTGAATATATGTACAAATGATTTTTTTAAAAAGATCATTGGGAATCATCTTCACAGCTGAAATATCGTTATTTCTCAAGATATTTGGAAAGTATTTCTAGAAATCGGATATGGTGCAGGAGAGTGTTTTCTATAACCATTCTACTCGGCCTGAAAAGAAAATGATTTCTTTAATACTTATGTTCATTGTTATGGTGATTTCTTGAAACCTCTGCTTCAAGAACCTTCCAAGATGCCAACAATTAGGATAGGTTAGATGTGAATAGCTCAAAGGTGGGTCTGTTTGGGAAATGTCAGGTGCTGACCAGCGCTTTGCTCAATTTACAAGAGGAGGCTTGATCTTACTAAAGTCTCTGTCAACTCCCGGACTTGTTCATCTTATGTCCTTAAATCAAATCTAATTGCTGGTTGTTCATTCCTCTCCTTTATGTCCTCTCACTCTTAAGAACACACACACACACACACACACACACCACACACACACACACACACCACACACCACACACACACACACACACACACACACACACACACACACACACACCGCTAGGGAAGACAAATCAGTAACTCTGGAGCTTGTCAAACAGTTGTTCATCTTATGTCCTTAAATCAAATCTAATTGCTGGTTGTTCATTCCTCTCCTTTATGTCCTCTCACTCTTAAGAACACACACACACACACACACACACCACACACACACACACACACACACACCACACACACACACACACACACACACACACACACACACACACACCACACACACACACACACACCACACACACACACACACACACACACACACACACACACACACACACACACACACACACACACACACACACACACCCCGCTAGGGAAGACAAATCAGTAACTCTGGAGCTTGTCAAACAGTTGAACTCTGACATCTGGATCCCCCAAAGATTGCCATAGTGTTGGTTACACGCAGGGAACTCTGATAAAGGACCTTTCACCTCTGCAGTTTCAGGTGGCTGCGGGCGTTCAGTTGAAACCCTCCGACCCGGCCGAGGACCGGGCCAGCCTGCCACCCCCCCCCCTCCACGGGCCCCACAGAGCCGTATCTCGGGTGGCATCATCCGGGCAACGTGTCTTCCAGGCCATGCCACATCTCACTCTTCGGTAGCTTTCCTTGATGCTCTCTACCCAGCCCCAAGAGAAGGCCGCGGGTATCGCGATGGGCGCCAGCCTCTGCGGGCTGGGTCCTCACCGCAGCTCCAGTCCGCAGAGGTCGCGTCCAGACGCCGCCCCGGCCGCTCAAACAAAGGCCCGGCCCCCTGCGCCCCGCGCCCCGCGCCCCGCTCCACCCCGCCGGCGCGGCCACTCACCGCTCAGGTAGTTGGTCCACTTGTACAGCACCCCCTCCATGGCGCCCGCGGGCCCTGGGCCTGCTCCCCGCCCGGCGGGCCGCTCGCTCACACCCGCCGGCCTCCTCACTGGCCCTGGGCCCGGGAGGCGACCAGCTCCGACTTCAGGATCATCGCCCGGCGAGGCCCAGACGCCCACGTCCGGCGCCCGGGCCCGGTGCGGGGACGCCCGGCCCGCCTCACATCCTTGGCCCGGGGGCGGGGTCACCGCGATGGCCTGGGCGGCTGTGGCCGCGACCGGCTGTCAGCCAGCGCGGCTGGGCCGTGCCTGCTGCCCACGAGGAAGCCAAGGCGCCGGGCGGGCCCGCCGGGGTGCCACAGGCTTCCAAAGTGCGGGGACGGAGGCAGCGGTTGTGGGCGGAGCCACAGCGCGCTACCTGAGCCCGGGACCCACCAGGCCCGGAGCGCGCCCGCGCATGCTCAGTGCACCGCGCCAGTGCATCCTCTTTAACAATCCACTCCGGAATTTTAAGGATGCAGTGGCGGCGGGCCTGCGGCTGGGAGAGAGGCTGGCAGGGAAATTGAGTCCTAGGATGCTGGTCTGAGGTTAGCAGGAGATGGACGAGGAAAGAGGGGGGTGGTCCTGAGACCAGGGCGCATGAAGCCGGAGGCCTATGAAGACAAGATGGGAGTTGGACTGTACCTGGGAGGCGCAAAAAGGTGGGGTACTGATTCCCCAGGCCTGACTGAGGGTCGACTTGACCTATCAGGTTATCCACTCGGATTCCTGTCCCTATCGTCCACTTCTAAATATCAAGGGCGTAGTGGTCCCGTCCTCTGGACAGGGATATGGGGAATTCGTCATGGAATGTTGTAAGACTGTGTAAACATGTGTTATCCAAATTTGGGACCTCGCCACTGCACGTTTGGTTTGGGAAGCAGTGGCATTGACATCACCCAGGAGCTCCTTAGAAATCAGAATCTAGCACCAAGCCTAGACCTTCAGGAAAAAAAAATAATCTGCATTTTTAACAGGATCTACAGGGGAATTCCTATGCATAAAGTGTGGAAATGCTCTGTTCAGAAGGTATTTGATCAAAAAAAATGCTGATTGTGATTACTCAAGTAAGGCTACAAATTAAGTAATGTCAAGGAAGAATGCACGAAAATGTCAAAATGATATTTTGAAGTGAGTCTTTCATTTTCCTTAATGTGAGAGTGCCAGATTTAGTAAACAAAACTACCTGCAATTGTTGGTGGTTTTTTTTTTTTTTTTTTTTTAATCTGAAACGCAGCTGTTAAAATTTGTGTCCTGTATTTTATCTGGAAATTCTACCTTGGTTTTCAAGTTTCTTCTAAACAGGCTGCAATGAACATTTGTTGCATTTGAAATTAGGCATCACTTATAGAAATGGAAGATGGAAGCTAAAGCCATATAATTGACAACCATGATTATTACTACCATTGCTTTTTAAAGGGTTTCGACGCATTCTCTTCCATCGTTTACCCTCTAAGGTCATATACAAGATAAAATAACGTAAATATAACGTTACCAGTGTTGTGGAATGAATCAGATCTGCTTTGAAGACAGCTTAAACGCTCCGAGGTCAAGTCATCAATTTACTTCTCTCTCAAATAGGGAAGAAAAAAAAATACTTTCTTAAATGGTCGCAGGGAGGTTGATACACTGAGAATGCACTATGCACGCTATAAAGCACTTTCTAAGTCCTTAAAATTAATACTCTGAATAAATAATAACAGGAGCCTTGGATCCTGGCATTTTGTGGGGGACCCTCTCCGAAAGCTAAAGTGAATTAGCCCTTCCTGAAACTCCCACAGTGTCACCTACCCCAGAATCTTTCAACCCAGCTGATCAAGAGTGCTAAAGAGGTAAATCCACCCAAGGAGTTTCCAGGTTATTGCTGGAAAACTCCTTTCCCTAACTCCCAGCTAAGAGGAGTTGTTTGATCCTACAGGATCTAGGACCTTGCTTGGTGGCTGCAGGGTAAGCACCCTGGTAAATTACATTGCTGCAGAGGCATTGGCTTGAGCGGCATCTGATCGACAATTCCTCCAGCCAATGGAAAGCCAGCTTTCTCGTGAGGCTGTGATAGAAGAGCCAATCAGGTCTAGGCTGGTGTTTAACTCTTTAAAAGTGAGTCCTCCCGAGGGTCGGAGAGTTGGTAGTGAAAGTGCCACGTCGGCTTTGAAGGTGTCCTGAATTTGCCGGAGGCCAAAGTCCCCAAGCCTTCATCTACATTTTTAACTCTGTGAAGTCGGGAGCCTTTTCCCTGTTTTTGTGGGAACTTCTTTCCAGCCTCAGCAACATGAGAGCTATCTTGTGGAACGCGATCTTGATGCTGTTTGTTAACTCTCTGAGTGGGGCTCTGATCCCGGAGCCAGAAGTAAAAATCGAAGTCCTTCAGAAACCGTTCATCTGCCATCGCAAGACTAAAGGAGGGGATTTGATGTTGGTCCACTACGAGGGCTACTTAGAACAGGATGGCTCTCTCTTTCACTCTACGTAAGTAATTAAGCCTTGCAGATAAAATAATAGACCCCTCCCTCCTTACCTATACTGGCTTCCTGTCAGGAAGGGTAGTGTATACTTGGTTTTATCTCTTAAGAAAAAAAAAATCTGGTTCTCTTCTTTAGGGAAATAAAATCGTCAAAGCCCAACTCTGTGCCATTAGATCTTTGAAAAACTTACTGAAAAGATGTGGTCTTGATAGAAACTGTTAATTTTTCATTATAAAAATCGGAACTCGAATATTTGAAACGATGCAGAAATAGAGTCTAAGTGCATAATTGTCAGTAATTAGAAAAGCCTAAAAATAATTTTCATGTGTCAAATATCATTCCTTAGGGAAAACGACTGGATCCCATTTTTAATTGGATGTAGGAATTAATTACTTAAAGCTTTCCACAGCCACTTTAAGAGCAAAATACACATTTATTTACCTGATAACTATATATATATAATATATACATATATACACTATGTCTTTCACCTATTAAACTTTCATTCAGACAGATTAGTTTTGATCCAGGCACAATGCCATGTTTTTCATAGTCATGTGCTTCTTTTCAGAAGTCAGATAGGGATGAATGTGATTATACAAGTCTGACTTGAAGGATTTGCAGGTGCTTATACTACTATTTCTGTTTTATAAACATGGTCTAGGTTGACAAGTGTAATGATTTCCAATTAGGTATTGCTTCTATTCATTCCATTCTCAAAGCACTCAGCTAACTCTTCATGTTAGGCTTTATATGTTGGGGCCTAGTAAGATTAAGAAACTTAGGCTTTTTTTCATCTTCATCCATTATTTAATCCAGCTATCAAACTTATACTAAATAGCTACAATTCAAGTCCAAGAAATAGGAAGACCACTGGAATCAAATTCTTGCTCTCTTGTAGTATACCGTTTACAGGGAAGAGAACAAGTAATGACTCAGATTTAGATAGTACAAAGTATTCAGGGCACTAGCCAAGCATAGAGGAACCTCGAATGCACTAGGAAATATGGAAAGAGAAAAGACTTTCAAGAGACCTTAATTGACATGTACCTTGAAAGATAGCTGGAAGGTTTTGGAAAGATGGAAGAAGGAGGACACTTAAGGCAGAAAGAGCAACATGAACTAAAATAGTAAAGCTATGTTATTCACTCTAGATTCCATTTTTTTGATAAAATATCTTTTAAAAAATAATTTAGGTAATGAGTTAATTTCCTAGTATCGTGTGTGTGTGTGTGTGTGTGTGTGTGTGTGTGTGTGTGTGTGTGTGTGTGTGTGTGTGCTGGTCACGGGGCTAGAACACTGGGCCTGAATGCTGTCCCTCAGCTCTTCAGCTCAAGGCTAGCGCTCTACCACTTGAGCCACTTCCGGTTTTCTGAGTGGTTTATTGGAGATAAGGGTCTCATGGAGTTTCCTGCCAGGGCTGGCTTTGAACTGCAATCCTCAGATCTCAGCCTCCTGAGTAGCTAGGATTACAGGTGTGAGCCACTGGTGCCTGGCTTGTAAGACATATTCATCTTTCAATCCTGGTTTTCTTGCTTTGTGTCTGTTTCTGAAGCCATAGTCTGCATGGTTCATATCTTAGCCATAATTAAAAATGTATTAAAGCAATTACTGCTAGGATATAGATTGTTTCTTCATATTATTTTCTAGTCTCACCAATTTTTTAAGATTTGCAGTTTATTCCTTTGATCATAGTGGGAAATGAAAAATGACATTTACCTAGATTCAGTAGCCATGGTAGCCATAAACCTAGTAGAATGACTTTTTATTCTATTTCATGAGATATCCTGTAATTAAAGGAAGCTATCTGAGGCTACTCAGCCCTCAACCATCCCTTACTCTCCCTGCTGTTGCCCTGACCATACCCCTAGCAGTTTGGCAGGTTATCTTAGACCGGTGCCTCATCAGTTCATGTGTCAGGACATATTGACTGATTCCTTTCTCCCTAGAGCTTTTGAGGGTGTCCTCCAATCCTCTCTACCTGGGAGGAGAATTGGGACTGAATGTAAGTGGAGACTGAGGGGTAAAAAGCAGCCTTTCCTGCCAACACAGCCATCTACAGGCTGTATATCAGAAAGGTTTGTAGACAGGATATAAGATGCTATGTAGTGTTACCCATGTGCATACAGACCCTCATGTGTTGCCAGTAAATTCTCCTTAGCTTTTGATCTTTATTCTCATATTCAGCTATTTCCCATTATTTTCTTCCTGATCTATAACATTGCGGCCTTCTTAGGATAGCATAACTTTGTGATTATGGCCTTCAAAGTTGAAGGTCTTAATTAAAGATTTGAAGTCAAGTATTAGCACATTTAACGACCATTTTGTCATCTCAAGTAGTAATAATGGTACAGTTACTCTCTGGATGCAGGTTCTACATCCCTAGATTCAACCTATTGTGGGTCAAAAATAGTTAAAGGTCTGGAGGCATGACTCAAGTGGTAGAATGCCAGTCTGGCAAGCTCAAATTCCTGAGATCGAACCCCAGTACCTCCATATATAGAATATTTAGAGACATTTTTCTTATCACTATCTCCTAGCAATATATAGTATAATGACTATTTATATAGGACTAGGTTGTGAAATCAGTCCCTCCAGGATAACTACTAGTTATAGTATCACCATTAGTGTTAAAGAGGCCAATTTATTATAATAGCTGACATACAACATATGTTCAGTTTTTAATTTATATTATTTCCACTGTCCTTTTCATACTGAGCCAAATATATGAAATTTACATTGAGAAAAATGTGCAGTGAGTTGCATTGCTATGAAGTTGACTTGGTGTGTATGTGAAAGAACCACTGTTTAATTATTTTCAGGCTAATAAACTTCACCACTTATGAATGGAAAAAGTATGCCTCCACAATTAAAAAAAAATAAGTAAATATTTAAAGGTGCTGATGAGTAGAAGACTAGCCTTGCATGCATAAGGTATTGGCTTAAAACACTAGCACATGCGTGTGTGTGCACATGCACATACACAGACACACAGACACACACACACACACACACACACACACACCAAAACAAACACAATACATTTCTAATGGTTTTTCTTTCTATCATAGCCACAAACATAACAATGGCCAGCCCATTTGGTTTACCCTGGGCATCCTGGAGGCACTCAAAGGCTGGGACCAAGGCTTAAAGGGAATGTGTGTAGGAGAGAAGAGAAAGCTCATCATTCCTCCAGCCCTGGGCTATGGAAAAGAAGGAAAAGGTAATAGCACTACTATATTTTGATTGTAGCATTGGCTTCTTCTCTGGATTAGGAGACAGAAGTAAAGTAACTATTATGTACTTTTTCCAACTAGAAATAAACAAAGACTTGTATTCCTATAGGGATTATAATTATTTTCACTTAAGGCTTTCATATCCAAATGAGCAACTGAACCAACAATAAAATAAGGTCTAGAACTGTGAATACTATTCATAACGTTCAATGTGGTGCTTACATTTTAAAAACTGTAATACAATACATTTGTAATACAATACAATTTGTAATACAATAATTTACATTTGAGCAAGTGGCACGCTGTGGTGTAATAATCATCCTTAGGCATCTCTAGAACTTCTTCACACACCTGAGGTTCACATGGTAACTGTTGAAACTTGCCAGAGTGTTATTTGGTGATCTGTAACAAAAGATCTTGAGATGTATATAAGTATTAATCCTGTGATATTCTTACTGGAATCTAATCTAAGAAATAATGAGAAAGATTACTATTGCTATGTTGTTTCTAAAAGCAAGAAACTGGAACACTCTATAAGAGAATGACTGAGTTTAGTGGAATATATTCCAGTTATTAAAAATAGTACCTCTAAAGATTTGTAAAATTATGGGCTGGGAAGGTGGCTCAGTGGTAAAGCGCTTGCCTTGCATGCTTGAGGCCCTGGGTTCAATTCCTCAGTACCCCATAAGCAAAAAGAAAAAAGCTGGAAGTGGCGCTGTGGCTCAAGTAGTAAAGTGCTAGCCTTGAGCTGAAGAGCTGAGGGACAGCGCCCAGGCCCAGAGTTCAGGCCCCACGACCGGACCCAAAAGAAAAAAAAGACGATTGGTAAAATTGTGTAGCAAATGGGTGATTATAAGAGTTGAAAATAAGTCAGGAGCTGTTGGCTTTCACCTATAATACTAGCTATTTAAGAGGCTGAGATCTGAGGATCACAGTTCAAAGTCAGCCTAGGCAGGAAAAATCTATGAGACTTTGATCTCCAATTAACCACAAAAAGCCAGAACTAGAACTGTGGCTCAAATGGCAGATTATTAGCCTTGAGCAAGCAAGCAAGCTCAAGGACAGTACCTAGGCCTTGAGTTCAAGCCCCAATATGGCACAAAAATATAAATAAAATAAAAGGTGGGAAATATAGCAATCATGTATATACTATGATAGCAAGTTATAGATAAATGTATGTATGTATAGAAGTGAATCGCAAAGAAATAAGTAAAAATGTTAAAAATCTATTTATTTCTGGTTTTATCTTCCAAATTTTCTACAACAAGCATGTATTGCTTATGTAATGAGGAAAAAAAGTTAAGTGGACATGGGTGTCAGGCAGGGAACCATTCTCAGGTGTTCTGCATATATACTTCACATTGTGTAGGCCTAAATGTAATCATCGACAAAGTAAGGGTCAGAAATCCTAGCCTGTTTCCTAACAAGAAAGCTAGGTACTGTGTGTGAAGCATGACAGATTTTAAACTAGAGCTGTCTTTGTAAGTCCTATGTATAGATTAGGATTTACTCTCCAAATTCAATTTTCAATTATTTATTTATTTATTTATTTTGTCTGTTGTGGGGGCTGAACTCAGCCTGGGCGCTGTCCCTCAGCTCTTCAGCTCAAGGCTATCACCCTACCACTTAAGCCACAGCGCCACTTCAGGCTTTTTTCTGCTTGTGTGGTGCTAAGGAATGGAATCCAGGGCCTCATGCATGCAAGGTAAGCGCTCTACCACTGAGCCAACTTTCCAGCCCCAATTATAATCTTCTTTAGAGAAGCATATCTAGTATCTAGGAAATGTTTCTATAAGGCTTAAAAGAATTCTCCCACTTTCTTATATCTCTATTACCTCACCATTAATAGTTAGACATGTAGTATTAGTCTGTTACTCTTTCTCTATTCTGTATTTAACTCAACTTTATAACATATAGGAACCAAATGCCATGAAACTAATTTTCCTAACATGTACTTAACACTAATTTCATAGTCTTCTAGTACACGCTTGCATGCCTCCTTGGAAAGATACCAGCTTTCCCGTCGATCTAGTGACTGTCCCCTCTCTGTCTCCATCTGGACTGGTAAGCTTGGGCTCACAATGTGAATGAATGCTGTTCTCTTTGAAACGTACCGATGATCTTTCATGGAGATATAGGAAATGGGAGGGTCTCTAGGAAATACTTAACAAGTCTTCCCAGACATTTATATTAAATAGAGTTATAAACAAACAACATTTTTTTAAATTGCCCATAATTTCCTAAGGGTTTAATTTTTTATGTTCATTTTTGTTTATACTTGTTGATTTTACTACTCTGAGACTTCAACAAAGCTCCTTTAACTTTTAAAGGTTTGTTATCTCCCATTTCAGAAGTTCTTTATAAATTTTTCTCTCCCAGATACTGAGAGGTGAAAAGGAATGACAATGTATATGCATATGAATATATCTATGGATAAGGTATATATGTACTTAAGTATAGATGAATACAGCATAATGAAGATCACCAAATGTTGTTTGAAAAAGAGGAGAAATGGGAAATGGTAGAGGGGTGAATTGTTCAAACTACACTTGTGTGTATGTATGAAAATATCTCAATGAAACTTCCTCAGATAACAAATGTTTGTGAACTCAAAAAAAAATAAGAATAAATTTTAAAAAAACAGTGAATAAGCCTTGAAATGCTAAAATGACAAACAAAAATTAATAAACATATAAATAAACGTAAACAAGACATACCATGTCAACTTCATTGTTATTCTTATTAAATATTTTGTGCATCTATAAAATTATTTGATCCCTCTCATGAATTGTCTTCCACATATGCATAATGTCGTATACCAGAGGAGATATTTTAAAATACATTTTTGAACTTCCTTGCATTATTTTTTAAACCTATAGGAAATTTTTATCTCAGTAATATGCATTGAGAAATTACTATTTATCAAACATAATGCTAAGTATCTTATTTTTCAATAGGTTTTCTTCTTCATTGCCAATCCTAATATAGAAGATATTAGATGTACATTTAAAGATGAGGAAACTGAGACTTAGATATTGTCAGGTGTGAACTTCTATTTTGACAATATGATACCAAAAGCTCATTCAATTATATGCTGCCTCCCAGTGGTAGAGCTGCAGCATCATATTGTGTACTTATTTTTTCTTATTGTGTATTCTTATTGTGTACTTTTTTCTTTTTCTTTTTATTACGTTTTTCATTGTAAAAATGCTGTACAGAGGGGTTACAGTTACATGAGCAAGATAATGAGTACATTTCCAATTGAGCATTGTTGCCTCCTCCTTTTTTACCTCCTACCATCCCTTCCCTCCCACCTCCACAACTACTGCCCTACCCCTGCCAAAGGTGTAAAGTTCATTTTCAACATAGTGTTTTGTACATCTCAGTCCAGGACTTTTTTTTTTTTTTTTGGGTCCGGTCGTGGGGGCTGAACTCTGGGCCTGAGCACTGTCCCTCAGCTCTTCAGCTCAAGGCTAGTGCTCTACCACATGAGCCACAGCACCACTTCCGGCTTTTTTTCTTTTTGCTTATGTGGTGCTGAGGAATCGAACCCAGGGCCTCAGGCATGCAAGGCAAGCGCTCTACCACTGAGCCACCTTCCCAGCCCATCCAGGACTTTCTATTCCAAGTTAGTACATCACTTGTAATTAATTCTTATTTGCTCAAGGTCCTTTATATTATCCTTAATGTACAATATGTAATATCCCAATTGTATTTGAAATTTAGCATCTAGACTCTTATGTACCTACATACACATGTGCACATGAATATGTGTATGTTATTGCTAAGGTAAAGCAAAATTCTTTTGCTTTGCTAGTTTGGATTATTCCTTCTTTTACTTTATTCTACTTTTCTGAGTAAAATATAATTTAGTATAAGTTAATTTCTACAATATGACAGTCTTCATTTAATTCAGTTTAGAAATATTTGTTTAGTAGCATAACTTTTCTGTTTTAAAACTTGTGGATCTTTTAAATAATAATTTCTCCTTCTCCTTTAATATAGGCAAAATCCCCCCAGAGAGTACACTGATATTCAACATTGATCTCCTGGAAATTCGAAATGGACCACGATCCCATGAGTCATTCCAAGAAATGGATCTCAATGATGACTGGAAACTCTCTAAACAGGAGGTGACATGCTCTTCTGCCTATGCTTCTGTTTTTCTTTTTCTCATACTTCTTTTTGAGTAGCTTATAGCTTACTTTTTTAGAAATATTTTCAAAGAAAATTTATTTTTATGTAAGAACACTAATTTTTTTTTTTGGTTGGCTGTGGGGTCTGAACTCTGGGCCTAGTCACTGTCCCTCAGCTCCTTCTAGGCTAGTGCTCTACCACTTGAGCCACAGCACTACTTCTGGCTTTTTCTGCTTATGTGATGCTGAGGAATCGAACCCAGGGCTTCATGCATGCAAGGCAAGTACTCTTCCACTGAACCACCTTCCCAGCTCAGAAACTCATTTTTGTACAAATTTCTTTGCAAAAAAACCCATATACTTTGAAAGTTGTCTTTTTTGTAAGAAATAATTGTTTCAAGAAACCTATATTGTGATTTAAAAGCCACAGGTAGGGTTAGGCACCAGGGGCCAAACCTGTCATCCTAGATAACCAGCAGACTTAGATCTGAGGATCACAGTTTGAAGTCGGCCTGAAGAAAAGTCCTTAAGATGTTTATCTCCAGTTAATTAGCAGAAACTGGAAATGTAGCTATGGCTTTAGTGGTAGAGTACCAAACTACTATTAAAGGTACTCACTCCTGTTTTGGGGATTCCAAGTAGAGAAATTTTCAGTGGTCTCAAATGAAAGGTTGATTTCTACTCTTGGTCAAAACCATGAATGAAGTGGATTTATTATATTTGATGTAAGGATTGTAGTCTTGATTTAAGTTTTGTCTCTCAACAATATTTTATGTCTCCACTATAGCAGTATTGCAACAGTTTTTAGTGGAATAAAGATCTTTGTAATTATTTCACTTTCATTAAAAAGGGTCATAAAGGAGTTGGTAGTTATTGTACATAGTAAAATGAATGATGAACTATTACTGTCAGTGTGGGTAACTTATGAATCACAGTTATTAATGAGATCCATTGTATTGTAGGTTAAAGTTTACTTAAAGAAGGAGTTTGAAAAGCATGGTGCAGTAGTGAATGAAAGTCATCACGATGTTTTGGTGGAGGATATCTTTGATAAAGAAGATGAAGACAAAGATGGATTTATATCTGCCAGAGAATTTACATATAAACATGATGAATTATAGCAGTATAATTTCCAACTTTATATACCATCTATCTTTTTTTTTTTTTGTCAGTCATGGGGCCTGCACTCTGGGCCTGGGTGCTGTCCCTCAGCTCTTCAGCTCAAGGCTAGCACTCTACCACTCGGGCCACAGGGCCACTTCTGGCTTCTTCTGTTTATGTGGTGCTGAGGAATTGAATCCAGGGCCTCATGAATGCAAAACAAGCACTCTACCATTGAGCCACCTTCCCAACCCTATACCATCTATCTTTAAAGTGAAGGTAGTCCTCTTTAAAAACAAAAAGCAAGAACAGAACATGGTTAAAAACCATGTTCTTGCTTTTGGTTTTTAATTTTTTTATCTCATTTTTCTGATGTTATTTAAAGAATATAATGTCATTAAGGTATTCATTTGTGTCTGGTAAGTTTTGGGGAAGAAACAGGTTGTCTTCAGTAGAAGACTTCTGGATAATTTTCCACTTTCAAATATGAAGCCTTGTTTGTTTCTAATTTTAAAATCTAACAATGAGAAACATGCCACAGCATGAGATTATGTTATAGCATAGGTCAACACCCTATATATCTGCTTCCCTTTATTCCCAAAATTAGATATTGACTTATTTGGAAAGCCTTTTGTATGTCCCCAGAGCTGTTATTTTCATGTTATAATGAAACAGTTGTCTTTACCTATGGATATCTCCTTGGGCACAGGAGAGAAGTAATGGACTTTTATTCTTTCCTAACTACAGCTTTACTAAGGAGAAGTACAATGCTAAGTAACAAAATTGATTAATTTATAAATATGTATCCACTGAACATTATGTAGAATATAAACTACATAAAATTCAGTTCCTACTGACTTGTGGCCTATTATGATAAATTGGACAAATCATTTATATGCTTGTTTCTTTGTAATAAAATGAATCCAAATATTGTACCATTGTCACAGATTATTTCATATTCAGTGTCTACTTTTTACAGCTAGCAGATTACTCTTCTAGTTCTTTAATAAATAAGGTTACAATCAATGTAGTATATTGTAATGACATGTAGTGTAAAAGAAATAGCTACATCTACCAAAACTTTCCAATTTCTGCTCCATTAAAAATAAAGTACCTCATCAGATGCCTGTGGCTCACACCTGTAATCCTAGCTACTCAGGAGGCTGAGATCTGAGGATCACGGTTCAAAGCCAGCCCGGGCAGGAAGGTCCATGAGACTCTTACCTCCAATAAATCACCAGAAAACCAGAAGTAGCACTGTAGCTCAAGTGGTAGAGTGCTAGCCTTGAGCTGAAGAGCCAAGGAACAGTACCAAAGCCCAGAGTTCAAGCCCCACGACCGACAAAACAAAACCCACAAACAAACCTTGTCTTTAACACTTTTTTGTGCATTAGAAAAATCACTCAACCTTTTGTGCAACTCAGTTTTCTCATCTGTAAAACTGAAATGATAGAAGTACTTATTTCATATTTAGGTAAATAATATATGCTCCATACTTACAACAGCTCCTCATTCATAGCAATGTTCAATACTATGGTTCAAGTGGTAAAGCTCTAGCCTTGAGCAAATAGAGCTAAGGGACAACACCTAGGATCCAAGTTTGAGCCCCAGGAGAGACACACATCCACAGAAAAAATTTCAGCATACAGGAGGGTAAAAAGCATATCTGAAGCAGATGACTAGCTTATCAAGCATAGCAAATTTGAGGTCTTGATTTCAAAATACTGATACTAGTAAAAAAAAAAACAAAACAGTAATTACAAAGAATTCTTAGATGCCTTCCAGCAGCATCAAGTAATTATGTTTTTTTTTCAGTGAAGAAATGCAGCCCTTCTGTGTGACTACCGTCACGTGGGTATAATGTTTTGAAGTAGTGCCTGCATTTTTGGCAAATGTATCTAACTCTCATAGGGATTGAGTAATAGCATGCTGAAGTCCAGTAAGGGGAATAGATTCTTAAATATGCTCACAACTATAGTTTCAGTCCAGTAACTATTGCTTTGGCTACTAGCACCTTTTACCTAGGAGGGAACTTATATTTCTTCACAGTTCCAGGAATTCCAGCAGGGCTAAGAAAAAGTCAAATCCAGAGTCAAACCACTCTTCAGTCCCATGCTGGTGGCTCAGACTGCAATCCTAGCTCAAGAGCCTATCTGAACCAAGCAGAACAAATCCATGAGACTCTCGTCTCTAATCAGCTGAAGATGTGGTGATGTGGCTCATACAAAAAAGCAAACACCTCAAGCACTGAGTTACCTCTTCAGCTGCCTAAATTTTTCAACCAGGAGTTTCAGAGGTTGTTTGTGGAAAATTATATATATATATATATATATATATATATATAATTTTGTATATAATTACAAAATGATAACAGATACTGTTGTGACCCCAGTGATATGCGAAGTCAAGGTGGGTGTCAGACCTTCATCTAGAACCAAACAGGCCAGGTGGGCCCAGCTTACATTACTGTAATGCACCTTAGCTTCTAAAATTGAAGGTTGTTTCTCTATTTCTTAGAAGAATGACATTGGGAGTTGGGTGGGTATTGCATTGAATCTGCATTACTTTTAGCCTTGTTCTCATTGTCTCAATTATAACCTGCCAAACCAGAAATGAGGGAATTCTTTCTATCTTCTGGTGTCTTCAATTTCTCTCTCTAGGTTTTATAGCTTTCATTGTAGAAGTCTTTACCTCTTTGACTAGGTTTATTGCTAGGTTTTATTAAGCAACTGCAAATGACATTTTTCTCCTAATTTTACTCTGCATTTGCACACTATGGGTACACAGAAAAGCAACTTGTTATTGGGAGAATGATTTTATATCCTGGTGCGTTACACATGTGTTTCTCTTTATCAGTTCTGAGAGTCTGGAGGTTGAATCTTTATAGTCCTATGTATAACATCCTATCACCTGTGAGGAATGATATTTTTACTCTTATCCTTTCTATTTGGATCACTTCTCTCTTTTTCTCTTGCCTTTTTGCTTTGGCTAGAAATTCTAGTACTAATTGAAGAAGAATACAGAGAGTGAGAATCTTTTTTTTGCGGGGGGCCTGTCGTGGGGACTGAACTCTGGGCCTGTGCACTATCCCTCAGCTCTTCAGCTCAAGGCTAGCGCTCTACCACTTGAGCCACAGCACCACTTCCGGCCTTTTTCTTTTTTGCTTATGTGGTGCTGAGGAATTCAACCCAGGGCCTCATGCATGCAAGGCAAGTGCTCTACCCCTGAGTCACCTTCCCAGCCCGAGAGTGAGAATCTTGTTCCCAATTTTAGAAAAAGAGTTTCCATTTTTCCTATTGAGAATAATGTTGACTGTAGGTTTTCATATATAGCCTTTATTATGTTACAGTATAATCCTTCTGCCTGGTTTCCTCAGAGCCTTCACATTAAATGCTGGAACTCTACTACTCGAGCCACCCCTCCATTGCAGCTATTTGCTGGTTAACTGGAGATAATAGAAAGTCCTGCCTGGGCTTGTGTGTCATTTCTGGCAATATTAGTGCTTAGTGAGGAAGTGTTTTGTTGAGGAGATTTGTATCTATGTTCATCAAAATAATTGGTCTATATTCCTAGGTAATTGTTATTGCTGTTGAGTCTCTGTATGGTGTTTGAGTGAGTGCAATGCTGCGATCATAGAATAAATTTGGTAAGAATCCTCAATTTCTATTTCATGAAAAAGTTTGAGGAGTATTCATGTTCTTATTTAATGGTTGAGTCTAGATATCAGCAGTGAATTCATCAGATTCTGGCTTTTCTTTCTTGGAAGATTCTATTGTTATTTTAATTTTATTACTTGTTATAGACCTGTTTAAACAATTTTTATCTTCTTGGCTCAACTTTGGCAGTTTGATGCTATCTATGAATGCATGCATTTCTACTAGAATTTCCAGTTTGTTTGACTGAAGGTTTGTAAAGTATTCTGGAGTTACAGCCTCAAACTCACTTGAATTCTTGTCTCCATCTTCATCCCTCATATATTTTGGTGACTTCTCCTCTTCTTTTGGTCAGATTGTTTAATGATTTATTAGTTTTCTCAATTTTTTTTTTTGTGAGGAACTGACCTTCAGTTCTGTTGATTCTTACAATGTAGATTTTGTGTGTATATGTATGTATGTGAGTGTGTGTGTGAGTGTGTATTTGTTTCTACTTCATTGGTTACTCCTATAATTTTTATGATTTCTTTTTGTATACTTGTTTTGGGATTGGGATTGGCATGTTCTTGTTTTCTAAGCAATTAAGAGATAATCATTAAAATCTTTCCATTTTAATGATGTAAGCCTACCTAGCTATAAACTTTTCTACTAGAAATACCTTCTCTGTGTCCCAAATATTCTACTAGGTTATTTTTTCATTTTAATTAGATAGTAGGGATTTTTTTCTTTCATCCTTGGTCAGTGCCCATAATTATTATTATTTTCTGTGATTTCTTTTGCTTGAATTTTGGCTTGAATTTCTTTATGGTCTGACAAACTGCAGCAAGTGCTTCCATTTTCTTATATTTGCTGGTCTTGCTTTCTGACCTAGACTACTACTATGGTCTGTTTGGGAGAATGATACTTGGCACAGTTGATAAGCATGTGTATTGTGCAGTTGCTACAGGAAATATTCTGTAAACATCTGTGAAGGCCCATTGTCCTATGGTATCATTGTATGTAAGTATTTTTGTTGAGTTTGTTCACAGATGACCTATCCATTGGTGAGAATGTGGTATTGAAACCTCCAACTATCATCATACTGTGCTCTGTGCTTTTTTAAGTCCAACAGTGTTTGTTTTTTTTTTCTTTTTTTTTGGTCCAGTCATAAGGCCTGAACTCTGGGCCTGGGCACTGTCCCTCAGCTCTTCAGCTGAAGGCTAGGGCTCTACCTCTTGAGCCACAGCGCCACTTCTGGCATTTTTTCTTTTTGCTTATGTGGTGCTGAGGAATCAAACCCAGGGCCTCATGCATGCAAGGCAAGCGCTCTACCACTGAGCCACCTTCCCAGCCCTCCAACAGTATTTATCTAAATTGAATGCAGTGGCACTTGGTCCCTAAGCTTAAGACATGTTATGTCACATGGATGGAGATTTCCCTTTC